TCTTTTAGACATTAAATATTAAGGAAAATAGAGGCACTCCTACAAAGATCATAATGAAAATCATACCGACTACTCACAAACTTTATAAATGTAAATTTCAATAATTTTTCAATAAGGGGGAAATGTTAAGACGTTGAGAATAAGTGAATATGTAAATACTTTGTAATTCCAGGGGATCCAATATATATATTCTTAAAATGTGCTTCTTAAAAAAATCAGGTAACTGTCGCCAAAGCCTTTACCATTTACAAATTACTGTTAATTAATCAAAATCCTCATATTCAGTATCATATCACGAATGTCCTAGTTATGTAGGTAGTACGATTTGTGATGCTTCACTGTTTCGTATCGTATGCAGATGATTACATAAGTTTTAAAGCCTGAATAATCCTGGAAAGTACGAGATACTTGTTTGGTCTTCCTGGCTTTCTTTTTTGTTGTTTCGGGAAAGGGAACGAATATCACGCGGCCTATCGGTTGTTTAGCATATGTAGTAACCGGGATTTTTATCTTATAGTTAATGGCCATAAGCAGAAAGAAAATCACAACAGGTACTATTATTTTTCATAAAAGGTGATAAACTTTAGATTTTAGTAAATCTTTTATGAAGACTACTGGTTTCATCGTGGTTGACAAATAATTTATTTAACTAAAGCAAAATTATGGTGGTTGTGTTTTTTGCAATTCAGAATCTTTCCAGGTATACTCAAGTATATCAAACTGTAAACCTGGTTTGTTAACAGAAATGATACGAGTACGAAATATTAGTAATTTCTGATTAACAGTCATTCGCCTTTCTATTTCATCAAATATAAGCAGCTGCCAAAATATTAACTCAAGTTTAATTATATTGCCCTACTTCAGTTGTTAGTTCCGCTTTCATTGGATCGTATTCACCTGTAAACCCTAGCAGGAATTGAACTAATGTATTTCGATAACTTTATGAAAGAGTCTCTGTTACAGAATAACGTGAGAGATTAAAAACACACTGCTGAGGAGTCCCACAATAGGACGAAACGGCCGTCCAGTGCTTCCAGGTTTTCCATGATGGTCTAGCTTCAATTGACTCATGATCTCAAATATTGAAAAGTTAATTGGGTATTATGAGTAGTAATGTATTACTTTTATTGAGACAAAGATTTATAATCACCCGATTGAGTAACTTTGAAGCCTATTATTATCCGTTTTATTTACATGTGGAGTTGTAAAAAAAATTCCCAAGATGTAATAATCACAGTAGTTATACAATTCATAATTAAGTAGCCATAATCTTTAATGAAGAAAGAGAAACTGTAGCCAGAGCATGTCAGTGTTACTCTGGAAAGCACTTTCACAAATGATAAAACCAAAAATATACAACTATGGCGTTCGTCATTAGTCTTAAACCAATTATTACGTTTTTAAGTAATCAATTATATCAAATAAACATTCTTTATAGAAATTTATTACGTCCCATATTCACACTGGAGCTTCTGTACCCAAATAGAGAAGAATCATTTGGATATCCTGAGTTTTTGTGCTTTTTCCTAATTTCTGATACCGTAAAGCAAAGATTTGTTCGCTAAATTGTAGCAATTATGACCTATTTTCTGGACAAACTCGTCGTTTCATTCTTTCCTGTCATTTTATGAGCTTACTCAATTAATGTGCTAAAGTAAAATGAACATCTAAATGTATGATTGTCATTCTGGTAGACGCTGTAACCTTGATTTTTATACATTATACATAAATTAATGTTTGTACTTATTTTTCTGGAAATTTAGCATTAAATCCTATAATTGGTTCAAGATATATTTTATGTAGATGTTGGGGTATTCAGAAAATACCCCAGAAATTATCTAATGCTATTCCTGAATGAGAAGTAGTGTCATTTCCCCATTGGTCAACATTCTTCCAACGTGTCATCTCCTTATTGGTCAATATTTATTTGTGTCATTTCCTGAAGGTTAAATCTTGTACAAATGTTACTTTCTATTTATGGTACTATGTAGTCTGTTTGTTTGGTATATAAACAGTGTATGTTTGAAATATAACGATTCATATCTCCGAGGCTGAGACTTGTGTTCTGGACTCAATTGGCTGGGCTAGACAGGGAAGCAGGACCAATCAGAGCTCTAGGCTGCTCGGTCGTATTTTGTGCGTCACTGTTTCGATCGATAATAGGCTGCTCTCTAATAGGCGGATCACACGTTATAACAGTAGATGCACAATGATTCATATGTATTTGCTTGACATTCACCCATACATTCATACCAGCCACTAGTGCTTTTGTTTGAAGTATATTTTATCTCATACTATTTCGTTTCGCGACATGTTATTACACCGGAGCCAAACTTAATGGCTAAGGTGTTTAGTTCAGTTGATCAACGGAGGTAATCTGGATAAACGTTAGCAACAAGGACCGAGCAAATAGATATCAAACAAGCTACCAACAAACTGCAATCTGAATCTAAAATATTTCTTCAAGCTCTGTCTGTTGATGTATATTTTGGAAAGAGAATGTGTAATAGTTGCAATAACTGTTACGCATATTAAATTTTGAAGCAATAATGAGCTACTGTTATAGCGCCGTCGGTATGTGATAAAATTGGGCTTCTCTATTACGTTTAGTGCACTAGACGGATTTAATGAACTGGTCTTCTGTTGAGGCAACAAATTAATGGTACGGACAACGTATTCATAAACGTATCACCGATATTATGATATTTCCCACAGATGCTTAGTAATTGCTGATCAAATGTATAACTATATATGTCTCCCGTCAAAACTAATTATTCAACAGTTGTCATTATTTTATGTTGTTGAATAAGTATTAAATTAAACAATCGTAATATTAAATTCCAACCATATAGGTGGAAAGCGCGTCCTGGATTCCACTGCTAGCCACCATCCATCTCTGCTTATAATTGTAATATTTATTTAATAATAATCAGTACATTAATATATGTAGTCATTACCCTTCCGTTAGATTCATCAAAGTAATTGAAAGTTGAGGACTGGTGTGATATCACTAAAGTCGGTATTATTTTTAATCAGTAACAACCTTAATGGTCTGAATGCTCAAATTCACTTTTCTTACAACTAATGTGTATCCCGATATTCCTTCTTGTCACTTTTATTTCTTTGATACCGATGGTAGAAATTGGTGAGCTAAATTCTTCTGATCAAACGTGGGAAAGAAATAACATTTCGTATCACTCTTTATGTCACACAGAGTCTACTTTGAGCCTCCGAGATTATTGTTGAATAATATTCGTCAATAGAACATAAATAAAAGACTCGTTGTCTGTATTAATAAGTCTGGATTATTTTGAAAAACAAACTTTCGTATTACTAAGTTGTCAATAGCTATGGATACTTGTTAATTCAGCTCAGATGTTTCAGATAAAAACAGTTAGGTTTTCAGTTACAGTTTTGAAGTGTAAAATAATAGAAGGCTTTATTCGTATTAATATTTCATTACTCGAGAAATTCTTTTTCATTTGGAAATTTAACTCCAAGAAATATCACCCTAATAATATTATCAATCTCACTGTTCAGAAAATACATGAGACAATATAATGGCTCTAACAAGAGTTGTGATCTGACACTAAAATCGAAAGATTACTTCTACTATACCAAAAGTAGGGACTCTATTCTGTGTCCAGAACAACGTTCTTTGACAAGTGGGAGAGTAGTACAGACTAAAATCATTTGGTAGGGGGCAAATAATTCAAAAAGCTTCGTATCCTAATGTAATTATTCCATTAGGTACAATGAGAAAACTATCAGTAAGAATTTATTATAGGATTTATGTGTGATTCACATGATATCACGCTAATAATAGTAATTAATTCTAAAAATGAATGTCAATTTACAGGTACGATCAAGTCGATGCAAACCGATGAGTAATAGTAAAATAAGCCTACAACTTCTGGAAAGGTATGGTTTCTAGATTGCTTTAAATCAAACATTTAGTATAAAGTTGTCAATAGTGTGAAATACAGAATGTATCCAGAATTCGTAAGCCTGAGTAAAATGGCTTTACAGAGCAATATTATTGGCTGTATATACTCAATAATAAAAATAATTTCAACAAGCAAAGTTGTCACTAGTATGAAAATTTAAATCTTATAATAACATAAATAGAAGTCCCAGTGGTTTTTGGGTGGACTGTGTTATGAGTTGAACTCATGAATGAGATATGTATAGACTAAGTTTTCGCTAGTACTTCATCCAAATTAGTTCTACTGTTTTTCTTCCTTGAGATTTCATTAAGTTCAGATAGAAGATAAGACTGAGTCAGACAGTAAGAGACGTCTTCAATCATAAATTATCTGATACGGTTATGTCGGATTAATCTACACACACACCATACAGGATTAGTATCCCCTCTAGCAATAAGATAGCTAGGGGATCTGGAGTTTTAGATCCATGTAGAAGGGGAATCATAACGTTTTAAAGCGATGCTATGATTTTCTGGGATGGATATCTAATAAATTTTGTCTTATTACAATTTCTACATTTACCATTTGCCTTGAGGAACATGAGTGTGTATTATTACTAGCCCTGTTTGTATTTATTCTTGTTTCTAACCTGATACTTAACTTGCTAATCGTTAAACAGTTGGTCGAATGCGAATTAAACGAAACATCAAATAAATACAATGTGTATCATTAGATTATAGAGCTAAGAAATTGATTCTCACTTGATCATTTTATTCTCTATGGCTGGATGATATTGTGTTTCGTCGGCTAGTTGAATCCCTAATGATCTTGAATATATTGTTAAACAAAGACACCAGGATAAGTACATGAATCAACTAGGTTCCTATCCCGGTCAATCTGCAATTGTATCGAATGTGTCAGGGTCTGCCTTTGTCGTTAAGTCGTCCGGTTATTTATTGCAATCACGTGAATAAACTAAGTCTTAATAAAGAATTGTACAATCACCAAACTCTATTTTAGGTTAGCATAGTTTCAAAACCATAACTGAGATTTGGAGACGAATTGAGATTCTTAGGTTTCGCTCTTCATACATTTACAAAGTGACTCTAATCACTGTATTTCATTTGGTGGCTCACTTCCGTTTGGTTTTGCTTACACGACGATTTGAATAAACCATTAAAATTTAAGGTGTTAGCTTAGTATGCTGCAGTATTTTTACGCAAATTAATTATCATATTTGACAGAATATACGGGTGAAAGACATGAAAGATAATCAAATTGCCTGAACAAAAATCTCATCCAGAGTCTTACTGTTGACCACTTCACCATATTTCATTCATGAAAAATGAATATTAATAAAACCGAAACCCCACTGTTGTTCACGAAAAGATCATTCATCAAAGTATTTTTATCTCGAAAATTCTGTATGGTTATGCATGAATCTTTTTCCAAGCTAATCGAGCAAACTTTAAGTGAGACAGAGAGAGAGAGAAAGTACGGATTTAGACGGAAATGTGAATAAAAAGAGTACATCTACTTTAATATTCATATCTTACATAGAAGTGGATATAAATGGCAGTTGTAATCTGTATGTATTATTTTCTTCATTAATTTCCTTTCTCCCTCTCCCCTTCTTTCTCATCTCACTCCTCAAAAAAAATAGATAAAAATCAGGAAAATAAAAATAAAATTTCAAAAAAGCAAGCAAAATAGCATTTTACGTAAATAGTTGGGGAAAGAAAAATAGACAAGTGAATTGAAATTCAAAAATGAAAAAATACAAAAACGGACAGTTGAAATTGCAAATAAGTATGAATTCGAGACAAAATTCACTTCATATGAAAAGGAAAACTAAGAGGCTTTCTCTTTTTCGTATTCGATGCGAGAATGCGAGGTGTAAAAATACATTCCCCGGAAGAACTTCGGAACAGATGACACAATGAGTAAGCATATTTTTGATGGCATAAATGGTTTTTCATAGGATTCTCTGACTAAAATTATTTCAAACTCGAACACAAATACTAATATGCAGTGAGTAAAAAGGTCAAATTAGATGAGGAAATAATGAGAAAGCAAGAAAACTTGAAATATAGTAAATAGAGTAACACAATCTTTATGAGTGTTTGCAGTAACGGGTAGTGAAGTAGATGAATGCAAATGCCATAACTCAAATAAAGCATGCATATTATGTCATGTTTAGTTGTGTGTTAAATTACGTTGGAGTAGATGGTCCAGTAAAGATGTTGGGTGCAGTTTAAGTTTTCTCGTACCCTAATGATTTTTTGTTAATTCTGCTCACTTTCCAATTAAGCTTATCCAGAGTTTTAGAGTAAGACGTGATCAAAAGTTCAACGAATAATGAGGTATTTTAATGATGAGATTGTTTTCGTTAGATTAAATTTTGAGTACAAATAAATCTCTCATCATCGACTGACATTTTAGGAATAAACAACATTATGTGATGCAAACGGAGGTGAATCAAATTTCAGTTGGTTAATATAGAAATATTTTTAACAAAAATGTTTTGTGATCTCTAGTTTTGAAGAATTCAGTGAGATTTGACCAGCTTGTTTGGTGATTAAGAGATTGTGCGTTAGACAGTACGAACGAGTTTTTTTTCCGTTGAATTCGACAAAAGTCATTAAAAAAATACACACACAGACATGTATTACTGTCTAAGAATTTTAAATATTAATATTACTATTTAATAGCATAGTAACGCTTCTGTTTTTCTTGAACCTTTTTCAAATTTTTTGTAGAAGTTGGAGACATTGAATATCTTGTAATTTTCTGCAAATTTTGTAACTGTAATCATTCATCAAAATGCTGGAAATAACCAATAAAAACAGGAAGTGGAACTTAAAAAAATTGATTACTTAACAAAGCAATGCTTAGTTATAGATTCGAGGGTATATGTAAACGCTCTAAATCTCAAATAAATTTATCTCTTTGATTATGTGTGATACAGCGGTAATAGGTGAAATTCCATGGAAAAAAGGGATTGTTTGGTTGTAAACGAAGACTAAGCAACTTCAAAATATTTTTTCTTACCAGATCATACAAGTTTTTTTATTTATTGGTTTTTAAATCAAAATTAAACTAGTTCAAAAATGTGAGGATGTTCGTCTCTGATGTGTGGTAATGAAAGTAAAATATTATTTGTCGTTGAATGTGAACAAACAGCCACAGCTTACGGACTGTTAAATGTGTGAGTTTCCTTTTTATCATTGATTTCTACCCTGGAATCACTGTGTGTAATTGTATTGAATAAAGTATTCTATAGTGTTAATCTGGTTCTCCATTTTGGGCCGCAAATCCTGGTTCTGATATAACGTGATTGGAAAGTAATATTAAAATTCTCTTTTATAACAAATGGCTTTACTTTTAATATTTACACGAGAGCCTCCTGAAAACCTAATTAGTTATTTTTATGTTTGCTTAGTCAAACTCTTAAAATGAATATGTAAAATATGGGGATAAGAAGCTTTTATGTGTTTTTAATCGAGTGTTAAAAATGAGGGCTCATCTTCAAAAGCAATTCTTATTTTAGTAGAATATCCACTCATTCGTTAGAGTGAATGTTTAGTTTCCCAGTAAAGCTACTTTTGTGCGTAAAAATAATTTACATTCTTACTAAGATTCCTCAAGAATGTCTTGCCAAGTTAACAATCATCATTGGTAGATTTTACGTTACGCAGACAAGATTTGAAATAAAGTAATGAAAATCCAATCACAAAACGAAGTTCAGTAAATCAACACAAAAGTTTTTTATTCATTAGCCCAGAGTTTTTCTTATCACACACTGTAGTGAGACAGTAGAAACAGATTCATTCATCACGGTTCGTCATGTAAGTTTAAACATTTGGATGAAAAGACTATCATTTGCCACCTAGTCTCCAAATGATTGCACAATCGGATACATTGGGACAGTAGAAAAAAGCAGATTTGTAGCTGATTGTGTTATCACGTAAATATTGTTAGTGATGCAGACCATTTGAGGTCTATGACTAATTAATAAATTCAAGAGTCGACTTAGATTTAATAGTTTTCTAAATTGTTAGGGTGTGGAATAAATAGTGTAATTTTGGTTCAACTGTAAATATTAGTTCATTTTCATGCTGTTTTTCAAAATACAGATTTTTTCTTGAGTATTTTAGAGATCATCATTGTCAAGAATAACATTATGAGGACTGAACATTATGGACAAGGAGATGATTTGGTATAAGACCTTATATAACTGTTTAAGGCTTACAGAGGACCATTATATTTTGAAGAATGAATTAATGTAGACATATTCAATGTTTCGACATATTAAAGAAATCCATATACAGCATCAATAAAAAGCTAACCACCTCCTGTGTGACAACATGAAGGTTAAACGTGATAAAAACTCTATCCACTCATTAACTGAAGCTCAAAAATAACTAACGCTCTTACATTTTGTTAAATTTACATCTAAAAAGTCTGTATGGAAAATTTATATAGACAAATCAGTTGTTAGTAGAATGACAAAATACTTAACAGTAAGATGACTAAGTTTATATTCAACTATAAGAAACACTTAGACGTCTAGGCCAATATTCTAATCTAAAGATAGTTTTTGTTACCGAAATCTGAGTCATTTTAATATTTTTATAACAGGAATCTTCGAAGTTCAGAAGTTCAGATTCAGGAATATAAACAACTGCTTGCTTGTAAAGTTTATAGTTAGATGAGCTATGACACAAACCGATTGCAGGCACAAAATGCTGATCAACGGATTCTCACTTAGTTGTTAAGCCTTTTTTGATCCATCTCAAGTTCTCAGTCATGCATCCCGGATAAAATTTAGTGCTTAGAATATCAAGAACCTTAAAACTGAAGAAAAACAAATTTAAATCCTGATAATATAAACTGTGTTCCAAATAATCAGTCTACAAACCTTCAAACTAATTATGGATGTGATATTGAAATACTTTCCCTTCTGAGATAACTTCAGTTATGCTATAAATTTTGTGATAAGGTTACGAATAAAATTAGTTTAACTACTATTGTTTCCACTGAGTAGTCTGCTGAGGAGTAATATGAGAAAAGATGGGTATCAACGGTTAGTAAATCAATTAATTAATTAAAACATGCGTATTAAATCTAAACGTACGTCAAACTGGATTTGCATTACATGCATATTTCGAACTTATCTACATTACATAAAATATAGTTTATTCATTGTTTGGGTAGTAGACCGGATGAGAAATTAATGAGACAGAAATTATAAACATGCCTTACAAATGCAGCTAAAGCATAAGTATATTAATAAAAAACGAAAGAAACTATGAATACCTTTGATTTTCATATACGTTGAAAAATTGCTTCTAAACAGTCGGTACCAATCATATCCAGATTTATGAGTCCAGTGTAGTCGACCAACATTGAAGTTCAGCTTAGCGAATTCCATTATATCATAAAAGGCTGTTTTATGTGTATAAATATGTTTGGGTTAGGTGCTACTGTGTTCATGTGTTTGTGTATATACAAACCAGCAATATTTTATACTTCTTTCTACTTTTACTTTATTTTCATAGACAAAAATTTAAAATGTGTATCTTAGGCGTCAATAAACAGATAAGTGTGAGGAATTTTAAATGTGCATATGTCTGAATATAAATGAATTTAAAGGAAGGAAATGCAAGAAATAACAATAATCACAGTAACCATAACAGTAATAGTAGGTAGGAAAATAAATGCTTTGTAAATCTGACATAAAAAGACAGAATTAATAAATTAGGTACGCTTTATGTTGACATAATATGAAGAAAGCCAAACAATCCCATTCAAATTACCAAGATTAAGATTGTTATTTTCTTTCTTTTTCACCCTTGCTCATTACCCTTCTTCATTTTTTCTGAGATGAAATCTATTGGTGACTTTTCTCTCTCAGTGATACTGACCATTTCATAATCTAAGTCGGAGGAAGTTTCGACTATGAACGACTGTTTGAACTCTTTACATTTGATTCGCTTACATGCCTCACTAACTTCTCCTGACGGTATATTATCTATTTTTAGGGTTTCTTTCGTTTTTGGAGCTACAGCTACAGCTGAAACGTCATCAGTCGTTAGATTATTCAGTTGTTGAAGATCATTTAACGGTTTTTTCACAAAAATATCATCTTCTGAAGTATCGAATACAGTCGATTGAGGGTTCAAATCTATTTTTAAAATGTTATCACACTTTTCACAATCTTGATAGGTACTTTGTAAGGAACTACTACTTATTGGAAGAGCTATTGACCCAGATGTGGTTGGAACAATAACTTTTTCCACAGTTGACGAAACATCACTTTTAAGTGTTTTTGTAACTTTAGAGTATTTAAGTGCTTTAGCTTCAGTAGCGAATAGGGGGATTTGTGCTGTAGAGAATGAACAAGAAGGTATTCTTGTTGTTACAAACTTGGTGGTTGCTGAACATTCAGTTGAAGATATTTTAGTACTTAGTTGTTCTATAACTGAACCGCTGTCGTCTAATGAGTCTGTCATACAATTTCCAAGTACTGGTTTATCAAGGTATTCAAACTGTGCAACTCCTGACACAGACGTACTTGAGTCTTGCTTTTCATCAGAATGAGTTGACTGAGGCTGTTTTCCGTAAGTAATAGAGCTGTCCCTCTTGTTAAAATAAGATTTATTTGGAAATACAGTACAAGACTGTTTCTCTACAATAGTTCCAATGTATTGTTGATGTAAGATATCTATATGGGCAGAATTAAATTCTATTATACCTTGATCATTTTCTCCCGGAGGACTTAATTTGTTTTCTCCTATCCTGTTTGAAATATCTGACGATGAAGGGGAGCAGAGAGAGTCAGTAACTTTACTGGGTTGTTCATGTTCGCTTTCATCTAATGAATCTATTCTGCGGGATATGCGGTTTCTCCAGTTATCATTTACTCCTAAATTCATGTTCGGTGTTCCATCATATATACTGTTTTCATAGCCAGAAGGTACTAAAGAGTCGTAGATCGAAGAACAAATTAGTGAATCAGTTTCTTCTACTCCTGTCAGTGGATCATCGACCCTGTCTAGCAAAGGTTCTATTTCTGAACTAGAAGTTAAACTTCCTTTAGATTTTTCGGCCTGTAAAGGATCACTGAGCATTTTCGAACATATTATTAAAAGTTCGGAATCAGAACAACCGGTCTGTGATTTATTTTCATCTTTTTGACTTGAGTATGTAAATGATATTTGATCATCATCTTTAGCTGAATGAAGTGAAGTAGTTGGAGATTCTATACTCTGTGAGAGTGAACTTATGTGATGTTCCGCCACATCTTCATAAATCGTTGAAATTTGTCCATAGAGTGGTGTTAGGTTATTGGAATTTAACATATCTGTCTTTGGTTTACCATTTATATCCATTAAATCGTTGAATTTTAGTTTAATTTTTGAGTCAAATGGCAATGCCAAAATTTCATCGAAACTTTCACATTCTTTTTCATGACGTAGATACTCAGAAAGTGATGACGTATGTGAACTGACATCTTCACCACTTCCTTTATGGCCACTACTAGGAGAAGTAGAACTGCTAGTACCCAATTCTTTTTCTAGTCGTTCGAATTCGGACAATGAGCTACTGGTAACGTTCTCATCACTTGTTTTTATTCTTTTTTCCAAATTAATACTGGATGGCGAGGATTTAGCCCGATCATTAGAAAATTCTAACTGTTTATCACAAGAACCCTCTGAAATTTGTGGAAAACTGACATGTCCCTCGATTGGTTCATGAAAGTAGCGTTGTGTTGTCTTGATATGTCCTTCAGTAGTACAGATGGGTTGCGACACTGGGACGTCACTAACATCTGTAGATGATCGTAATGCAGGAGTTCCTACCACAGGCTCTGATCCTAATAGGTTAGATATAAAATTTGATTGCTTTCTTTTAGGGACAATAGATAGGTGAACCGAACTCCGACCAAGTAGCAACATAGCATTATCATCTTTTAGCTTTATTTCCTCATCAAGAATATCAAGATCGCTTTCAATAGATGCTAGAGTGGTTTTTGACTCCAGTAGCTGAATACTATCGGGTGCATCTACACCAAAATCATGTCCCTGAGATGATAAACTCTGAGACAATAGCTTTTCGTCCACTAGATTTCCCCTTATAAGTTGAGGGACAACTGGTGATTGATTCGTTATTCCAACGTTCACAATTGTCGAGTGACTGCTTAGACTAGATTCATCTGCAGTGGAACTTGTTTGTAATTCATGGTCTGGGCTGAATGAAATCTTTTTAGTGGAACTGGATTGAAAGGAGATTACAAGTTCCGAATGTAAATGTTGACGTCCAGATACTTCTTTTTTAATAAAAGGCTCTTGCTGACAATCTGTATCAGATTTTAACTCATGGTCATAGTTGAAGATTTGATTTTTATCAACAATCTCAGGGATCGGGAACAGACTAGTGCTTCCACATTCAGTTTCATCTGTAATTATTTCACGTGATGTGTTATAAGTATTACAAATTTCAAATGGAATATTGAATTCTTCAAGGCTATCATCATCAAAGTCCTCAAATCCTTCACGATCAAGCTCTGTGACTTTATTCATCTGTACATTTGATGTAGGTATATTTTGATGGGCTAGTGAAATAGTCCTCTCATCATTTTCAAAGAATTCTATGCATGGAGTGGTTAATTTTGTTTCTGATGCATGCCAATTGAGATTACCAAGCGAGTTTGTACCTATCAAATTCCCTCGAAATCCATAGGTTTGAAGACGAGTAAGCATTTTGGCAGACCTATCAAGAGCTGAATGAACTAATTGACTGGAATCACCATGTTCAAGTGTTTTCATCCTACCAGGACACACCATAGAGAACTCATCTTCCTCCTCTTCTTCTTCTGTAAATTCTATAGCTACACTTGCTCCTGATGCTGCTGCAAGATAAGTCAAATCAGATTTTCCTGAGGGCGAAGATTTATCTAAAACATCTAACTTTGTAGGTGCTTCAGTTACTAATGACACACCTGATTCAAGCTGATGACTTAGTGCATCTTGATCTTTAGGTGAATACAAAATTTCGGTATCATGGTTTGGTTCTTCGATAATAATTTCAGCAAAACCATCAGTTATTAAGCTGTTTGAATAATTTGAAATGCCATATTCAGGATCACATCGAAAAGCGGAATGATATGAGTCAGAAGTTTGCAAAACCATTTGATCATTGCTTATTGAAGAATCTTTACCAATAACACCCTCCTCAGATACTTCCCGAATATCATGCGAATCAACTACATTTGCAGTGTCCTGAACAATAGATGGTAATCTGTGGCTTGATCCAAGTTCATCTAATGATTTGTATTCATATCCCGATACAGCAAGAACTGAAGCTTCAGGTATGAAGAAAGGCACTGATTCCGCAGAAATATCGTGTACTGAAGATATTCCAGCCTGTCTACAATCAGAGGACTCTCCAAAATTTTCTCCAGAGTAGGTAGTGAAACAAACGTCAGGAGCATCAACAGAAATGACGCTGTCTTCTACAACAAAGCTCGGAATTTCAGTGAAAGATTCCGTTGAACGGGAAACAAATTGACTGAGACCAAGAAATAAACCTTCAGAAACTAACGCTGAATCATTAGAATCAAATAAAGACACAGAATCTAAAGGCATACGAGTAAAGTCAGAAACACCAGCATGAACAAAACGGGAAGAAGGAGAGGAAAAGGACAGATCGTTAGAGAGATTGGACAGAACGAAAGAATCAACAGGTGTAGAGGAAATTCCATGACAAATTGTAACAGCACGAGAATAAGAAGGCGGTTCAGAGCATGAACTAACAACAAAAGAAGTAGTAGAAGGCTGACAATCCGAAACACTGGTAACATAACATACATCTGACAAAACATAGGATGATTCAAGACAAAAATTAGAAGGCGGATCAGACAAAGAAACGAAAGGAAGAGAGTCACAAACAAAAAAACTGGAAGAAGACAAAGAACCTACGGATGAAAATTCAAGACAACGAACATCAGAAATATCAAGATCTGACCCAGGGAGAGGATCAACCAATCGTTCCCGTTCCGGTTGTGCTGCAGTCTCTGCAAGCGCCTCAGACTCCAATTCGACTGGAGCGAACACAGACACACGTTCCGATTCAACCTGTTCTACCGCTTCACTTTCTGCGTCCGCTTCAACTTGCCCCAATGTCTCACCGAACACTTCGACTGCCGACTCGGCTTCCGTCTCCCCTTCAAATACGCCTTCACCAACTTCACCATATTCCGCCTCCATCTCACCGACACGCTCAACCAATCGTTCCCGTTCCGGTTGTGCTGCAGTCTCTGCAAGCGCCTCAGACTCCAATTCGACTGGAGCGAACACAGACACACGTTCCGATTCAACCTGTTCTACCGCTTCACTTTCTGCGTCCGCTTCAACTTGCCCCAATGTCTCACCGAACACTTCGACTGCCGACTCGGCTTCCGTCTCCCCTTCAAATACGCCTTCACCAACTTCACCATATTCCGCCTCCATCTCACCGACACGCTCAACCAATCGTTCCCGTTCCGGTTGTGCTGCAGTCTCTGCAAGCGCCTCAGACTCCAATTCGACTGGAGCGAACACAGACACACGTTCCGATTCAACCTGTTCTACCGCTTCACTTTCTGCGTCCGCTTCAACTTGCCCCAATGTCTCACCGAACACTTCGACTGCCGACTCGGCTTCCGTCTCCCCTTCAAATACGCCTTCACCAACTTCACCATATTCCGCCTCCATCTCACCGACACGCTCAACCAATCGTTCCCGTTCCGGTTGTGCTGCAGTCTCTGCAAGCGCCTCAGACTCCAATTCGACTGGAGCGAACACAGACACACGTTCCGATTCAACCTGTTCTACCGCTTCACTTTCTGCGTCCGCTTCAACTTGCCCCAATGTCTCACCGAACACTTCGACTGCCGACTCGGCTTCCGTCTCCCCTTCAAATACGCCTTCACCAACTTCACCATATTCCGCCTCCATCTCACCGACACGCTCAACCAATCGTTCCCGTTCCGGTTGTGCTGCAGTCTCTGCAAGCGCCTCAGACTCCAATTCGACTGGAGCGAACACAGACACACGTTCCGATTCAACCTGTTCTACCGCTTCACTTTCTGCGTCCGCTTCAACTTGCCCCAATGTCTCACCGAACACTTCGACTGCCGACTCGGCTTCCGTCTCCCCTTCAAATACGCCTTCACCAACTTCACCATATTCCGCCTCCATCTCACCGACACGCTCAACCAATCGTTCCCGTTCCGGTTGTGCTGCAGTCTCTGCAAGCGCCTCAGACTCCAATTCGACTGGAGCGAACACAGACACACGTTCCGATTCAACCTGTTCTACCGCTTCACTTTCTGCGTCCGCTTCAACTTGCCCCAATGTCTCACCGAACACTTCGACTGCCGACTCGGCTTCCGTCTCCCCTTCAAATACGCCTTCACCAACTTCACCATATTCCGCCTCCATCTCACCGACACGCTCAACCAATCGTTCCCGTTCCGGTTGTGCTGCAGTCTCTGCAAGCGCCTCAGACTCCAATTCGACTGGAGCGAACACAGACACACGTTCCGATTCAACCTGTTCTACCGCTTCACTTTCTGCGTCCGCTTCAACTTGCCCCAATGTCTCACCGAACACTTCGACTGCCGACTCGGCTTCCGTCTCCCCTTCAAATACGCCTTCACCAACTTCACCATATTCCGCCTCCATCTCACCGACACGCTCAACCAATCGTTCCCGTTCCGGTTGTGCTGCAGTCTCTGCAAGCGCCTCAGACTCCAATTCGACTGGAGCGAACACAGACACACGTTCCGATTCAACCTGTTCTACCGCTTCACTTTCTGCGTCCGCTTCAACTTGCCCCAATGTCTCACCGAACACTTCGACTGCCGACTCGGCTTCCGTCTCCCCTTCAAATACGCCTTCACCAACTTCACCATATTCCGCCTCCATCTCACCGACACGCTCAACCAATCGTTCCCGTTCCGGTTGTGCTGCAGTCTCTGCAAGCGCCTCAGACTCCAATTCGACTGGAGCGAACACAGACACACGTTCCGATTCAACCTGTTCTACCGCTTCACTTTCTGCGTCCGCTTCAACTTGCCCCAATGTCTCACCGAACACTTCGACTGCCGACTCGGCTTCCGTCTCCCCTTCAAATACGCCTTCACCAACTTCACCATATTCCGCCTCCATCTCACCGACACGCTCAACCAATCGTTCCCGTTCCGGTTGTGCTGCAGTCTCTGCAAGCGCCTCAGACTCCAATTCGACTGGAGCGAACACAGACACACGTTCCGATTCAACCTGTTCTACCGCTTCACTTTCTGCGTCCGCTTCAACTTGCCCCAATGTCTCACCGAACACTTCGACTGCCGACTCGGCTTCCGTCTCCCCTTCAAATACGCCTTCACCAACTTCACCATATTCCGCCTCCATCTCACCGACACGCTCAACCAATCGTTCCCGTTCCGGTTGTGCTGCAGTCTCTGCAAGCGCCTCAGACTCCAATTCGACTGGAGCGAACACAGACACACGTTCCGATTCAACCTGTTCTACCGCTTCACTTTCTGCGTCCGCTTCAACTTGCCCCAATGTCTCACCGAACACTTCGACTGCCGACTCGGCTTCCGTCTCCCCTTCAAATACGCCTTCACCAACTTCACCATATTCCGCCTCCATCTCACCGACACGCTCACCCAATCGTTCCCGTTCCGGTTGTGCTGCAGTCTCTGCAAGCGCCTCAGACTCCAATTCGACTGGAGCGAACACAGACACACGTTCCGATTCAACCTGTTCTACCGCTTCACTTTCTGCGTCCGCTTCAACTTGCCCCAATGTCTCACCGAACACTTCGACTGCCGACTCGGCTTCCGTCTCCCCTTCAAATACGCCTTCACCAACTTCACCATATTCCGCCTCCATCTCACCGACACGCTCAACCAATCGTTCCCGTTCCGGTTGTGCTGCAGTCTCTGCAAGCGCCTCAGACTCCAATTCGACTGGGGCGAACACAGACACACGTTCCGATTCAACCTGTTCTACCGCTTCACTTTCTGCGTCCGCTTCAACTTGCCCCAATGTCTCACCGAACACTTCGACTGCCGACTCGGCTTCCGTCTCCCCTTCAAATACGCCTTCACCAACTTCACCATATTCCGCCTCCATCTCACCGACACGCTCAACCAATCGTTCCCGTTCCGGTTGTGCTGCAGTCTCTGCAAGCGCCTCAGACTCCAATTCGACTGGAGCGAACACAGACACACGTTCCGATTCAACCTGTTTCTACCGCTTCACTTTCTGCGTCCGCTTCAACTTGCCCCAATGTCTCACCGAACACTTCGACTGCCGACTCGGCTTCCGTCTCCCCTTCAAATACGCCTTCACCAACTTCACCATATTCCGCCTCCATCTCACCGACACGCTCAACCAATCGTTCCCGTTCCGGTTGTGCTGCAGTCTCTGCAAGCGCCTCAGACTCCAATTCGACTGGAGCGAACACAGACACACGTTCCGATTCAACCTGTTCTACCGCTTCACTTTCTGCGTCCGCTTCAACTTGCCCCAATGTCTCACCGAACACTTCGACTGCCGACTCGGCTTCCGTCTCCCCTTCAAATACGCCTTCACCAACTTCACCATATTCCGCCTCCATCTCACCGACACGCTCAACCAATCGTTCCCGTTCCGGTTGTGCTGCAGTCTCTGCAAGCGCCTCAGACTCCAATTCGACTGGAGCGAACACAGACACACGTTCCGATTCAACCTGTTCTACCGCTTCACTTTCTGCGTCCGCTTCAACTTGCCCCAATGTCTCACCGAACACTTCGACTGCCGACTCGGCTTCCGTCTCCCCTTCAAATACGCCTTCACCAACTTCACCATATTCCGCCTCCATCTCACCGACACGCTCAACCAATCGTTCCCGTTCCGGTTGTGCTGCAGTCTCTGCAAGCGCCTCAGACTCCAATTCGACTGGAGCGAACACAGACACACGTTCCGATTCAACCTGTTCTACCGCTTCACTTTCTGCGTCCGCTTCAACTTGCCCCAATGTCTCACCGAACACTTCGACTGCCGACTCGGCTTCCGTCTCCCCTTCAAATACGCCTTCACCAACTTCACCATATTCCGCCTCCATCTCACCGACACGCTCAACCAATCGTTCCCGTTCCGGTTGTGCTGCAGTCTCTGCAAGCGCCTCAGACTCCAATTCGACTGGAGCGAACACAGACACACGTTCCGATTCAACCTGTTCTACCGCTTCACTTTCTGCGTCCGCTTCAACTTGCCCCAATGTCTCACCGAACACTTCGACTGCCGACTCGGCTTCCGTCTCCCCTTCAAATACGCCTTCACCAACTTCACCATATTCCGCCTCCATCTCACCGACACGCTCAACCAATCGTTCCCGTTCCGGTTGTGCTGCAGTCTCTGCAAGCGCCTCAGACTCCAATTCGACTGGAGCGAACACAGACACACGTTCCGATTCAACCTGTTCTACCGCTTCACTTTCTGCGTCCGCTTCAACTTGCCCCAATGTCTCACCGAACACTTCGACTGCCGACTCGGCTTCCGTCTCCCCTTCAAATACGCCTTCACCAACTTCACCATATTCCGCCTCCATCTCACCGACACGCTCAACCAATCGTTCCCGTTCCGGTTGTGCTGCAGTCTCTGCAAGCGCCTCAGACTCCAATTCGACTGGAGCGAACACAGACACACGTTCCGATTCAACCTGTTCTACCGCTTCACTTTCTGCGTCCGCTTCAACTTGCCCCAATGTCTCACCGAACACTTCGACTGCCGACTCGGCTTCCGTCTCCCCTTCAAATACGCCTTCACCAACTTCACCATATTCCGCCTCCATCTCACCGACACGCTCAACCAATCGTTCCCGTTCCGGTTGTGCTGCAGTCTCTGCAAGCGCCTCAGACTCCAATTCGACTGGAGCGAACACAGACACACGTTCCGATTCAACCTGTTCTACCGCTTCACTTTCTGCGTCCGCTTCAACTTGCCCCAATGTCTCACCGAACACTTCGACTGCCGACTCGGCTTCCGTCTCCCCTTCAAATACGCCTTCACCAACTTCACCATATTCCGCCTCCATCTCACCGACTCGCTCAACCAATCGTTCCCGTTCCGGTTGTGCTGCAGTCTCTGCAAGCGCCTCAGACTCCAATTCGACTGGAGCGAACACAGACACACGTTCCGATTCAACCTGTTCTACCGCTTCACTTTCTGCGTCCGCTTCAACTTGCCCCAAAGTCTCACCGAACACTTCGACTGCCGACTCGGCTTCCGTCTCCCCTTCAAATACGCCTTCACCAACTTCACCATATTCCGCCTCCATCTCACCGACACGCTCAACCAATCGTTCCCGTTCCGGTTGTGCTGCAGTCTCTGCAAGCGCCTCAGACTCCAATTCGACTGGAGCGAACACAGACACACGTTCCGATTCAACCTGTTCTACCGCTTCACTTTCTGCGTCCGCTTCAACTTGCCCCAATGTCTCACCGAACACTTCGACTGCCGACTCGGCTTCCGTCTCCCCTTCAAATACGCCTTCACCAACTTCACCATATTCCGCCTCCATCTCACCGACACGCTCAACCAATCGTTCCCGTTCCGGTTGTGCTGCAGTCTCTGCAAGCGCCTCAGACTCCAATTCGACTGGAGCGAACACAGACACACGTTCCGATTCAACCTGTTCTACCGCTTCACTTTCTGCGTCCGCTTCAACTTGCCCCAATGTCTCACCGAACACTTCGACTGCCGACTCGGCTTCCGTCTCCCCTTCAAATACGCCTTCACCAACTTCACCATATTCCGCCTCCATCTCACCGACACGCTCAACCAATCGTTCCCGTTCCGGTTGTGCTGCAGTCTCTGCAAGCGCCTCAGACTCCAATTCGACTGGAGCGAACACAGACACACGTTCCGATTCAACCTGTTCTACCGCTTCACTTTCTGCGTCCGCTTCAACTTGCCCCAATGTCTCACCGAACACTTCGACTGCCGACTCGGCTTCCGTCTCCCCTTCAAATACGCCTTCACCAACTTCACCATATTCCGCCTCCATCTCACCGACACGCTCAACCAATCGTTCCCGTTCCGGTTGTGCTGCAGTCTCTGCAAGCGCCTCAGACTCCAATTCGACTGGAGCGAACACAGACACACGTTCCGATTCAACCTGTTCTACCGCTTCACTTTCTGCGTCCGCTTCAACTTGCCCCAATGTCTCACCGAACACTTCGACTGCCGACTCGGCTTCCGTCTCCCCTTCAAATACGCCTTCACCAACTTCACCATATTCCGCCTCCATCTCACCGACACGCTCAACCAATCGTTCCCGTTCCGGTTGTGCTGCAGTCTCTGCAAGCGCCTCAGACTCCAATTCGACTGGAGCGAACACAGACACACGTTCCGATTCAACCTGTTCTACCGCTTCACTTTCTGCGTCCGCTTCAACTTGCCCCAATGTCTCACCGAACACTTCGACTGCCGACTCGGCTTCCGTCTCCCCTTCAAATACGCCTTCACCAACTTCACCATATTCCGCCTCCATCTCACCGACACGCTCAACCAATCGTTCCCGTTCCGGTTGTGCTGCAGTCTCTGCAAGCGCCTCAGACTCCAATTCGACTGGAGCGAACACAGACACACGTTCCGATTCAACCTGTTCTACCGCTTCACTTTCTGCGTCCGCTTCAACTTGCCCCAATGTCTCACCGAACACTTCGACTGCCGACTCGGCTTCCGTCTCCCCTTCAAATACGCCTTCACCAACTTCACCATATTCCGCCTCCATCTCACCGACTGTTTTTGTTTCGTTTGTTGTTTTCTGTAGTTCTTGTGTTTTGTTCTTATTTTCTCGATTTATTTTAATGAATTTTCTTCGCTCGTTTTCATCTTTTGTCTGCTTTTCTTTCTCCGTCGTTTCTTTTTTGATTTTTTTCAATTCTTTGATCGTAATTTCTGGCGATTTTTTCTCTATTATCATTGTTCTTCCTGATGTCCTGGTTTCTTTATGTTTTTCTATAAGCATTTTTCTGTTTTGTCTCTTTCGCTCTGTTTCTTTTGATATTGCTTTTTTGATGGCGCCGCCGTCAATTTCTTCCAAGTCTTTTGAATTTGTTTTAATAGCTGCTATTTTTCGTTCCGTTTCGTTTGTGTTTTCTTGTAATTTTTCTTCGCCTATTGTGTAGTCTTCTTGTTCTAGTGTCGCATGTTGTAATTGTCTATTTTTTCCTGTTTCAGTATGTTCTGTTTCTGCTGTTGAAATTATGTATTCTTCCTTGAATACGTTTGTTGATTTTTCATTTTGCCCGGATTGTGTAACCTGTATCTCATTTTCAGTTAGTATATTTTTGAAATCTTCGGTTTTCCTATCACTCTCTGAAATATTTATTTGTTTTTTCCATTTATTGTCTGTTAAATGTGGTAAAATAGTCTTTGTCATACTTAAGTCAGGTTGATTTATGTCCTGACTTTCCATATTATTTTGTTCTTCTTGAAGTTTTCGGTCTTTATTTATGGTACGTGGTTTGCATTAAGATTTTGTTGAATGAAAATTAGATGTGTCGATAGATTTTTTTCAAGAAAAAGAAAAAACAAACAAAAAAGTAACAGAAACCAGATGCGACGCAAAAGCTTTAAACAAAGGCAAAACATAACCATCACGCAATTCAAGTAAATATCATTTCTGAAGAAGCAAGCAGAAAAACTAAGTAAACAATTAATCATGTAAACTAAGGATAGAGTGCTCAATATTACAATCTGACTATCTAGGTACTTTTTGGGGATATATGCATCTGATTGGGTATGCTTTTCAACTTGTTCAAAATCATAAACTACCAAGCAACATGCACATACAAGCGTAAATTTTATTTCCCATGGGCTATATTCTAGCCAATTGAACACTGTGATAATATTATCGTCTTTATATCAGCTATATGAAGTGACTATAAAAACTTATCAGTTTTATGTTAATATTACCGACCTTCCGTTTAGGTCGAAATATTTGATAAACTGATCTCTCAATATTTTGCTTAAAAGATCAATATTCTATTCACTAGCTAACATGAATATCATAAAATTGTGTTCAGTGTTCACACATAGAACAAAAGGTCTGATGTTATCTACGTTGTTTTTTGATAGATACCATGACAGTCCCAATAAGAATATGGATTTATAGAACTATGTTTCATTAATACAGCCTTATACATTGATGAAATTTTCCTTTAACTTTTATCGTAAAAATCGTCTTAATTTAATTGTTGAGACCAAGTCTATTTATTTTTTCTAGATTTTAATAAAACTTCATTTAAAACGAGAAATTGTACATTTTACAGATAAACAATTTCACTTCTAAAAATGTTACCATGATATAAAAATTGGTCTTCTGTAATTGAAACTTCAGGTATCGTTGAATCTGTTTCCACAAACAATTCATCATTCACACCAGATGATACTGACTGCTCTTCTGAAATTGAACGTTCAAAAACTCTATCAACCACTCTTTTTGTTGTTATTAGGCGAGTTATTATAGTTCCATCAGCTAATGTTTCGTCAACTTGTTCCACCTAAAATAAGAAAATGGTGTTAGATTCATATAGAACTATGCTATTCTGAGAAGCTAGAAATTTAAGTGTCATTCAAGTTAATCTAAACAGCTGAAAAATTTAGATTTGTTTACATAACCTTACCCAGTTCTGATATAGCGAAAGAATTCAAAGATTTTCTTGTTTTCACGATATACTAGAATAATACGATAACAGGGACTATGTTACCAGTAAACTGGATACTCGAATGATGCGATGTACTCAGACTGTGTCGCTTTATAACAGATACACCATTCACTGCTAATAATTTGGAACTAGACTGCGCAATATAATAGTTTATTTCACGCAATTACAAACAGTCACAACCACTAGAAGCTTCCGCAGTAGTAAGCTTCAACATACACGAAAGAAAAAACAAGGTCCTCGAATACAACACAGAGAACACCAACCCAACCACACGTGATGGAGAAACTCTGGAAGAGGTGGAAGCATCCACCTATCTATCTGGGAAGTATCATCCATGACCGAAGAGGATCTGTAGCAGACGTGAAGGCACAGATTAGCAAAGAAAGGGCCGCTTTCTTACAGTTCAAGAACATATAGAACTCAAAACAACTGTAAACCAATATCAAAGTCACAATCCTCAATACGAACGTCAAGACAATTCTACTGTACGGAGCTGAAAATGGGATAACTACCACAACCATCATCAAAAGGGTGCAAGTATTTATAAACAAGTGTTGCGCAAGATACTCAATGTGCGTTGGTTGGATACCACCAGCAACAGCCTACTGTGGGAGAGAACAAGCCCACCACCAGCTGAAGAGGAAATTAAGAAAAGACTCTGGAAGTGGATAGGACACACATTGAGGAAATCATCGAAATGCATCACGAGGCAAGTGTTAACTTGGAATCGTGAATGAGGACGGAATCTGGGAAGGCCAAAGAACACACTGTGTCGGGAATTAGAAGCAGACATGAAAAGGATCAATAGCAACTGGGAACAACTGGAAAGGATTGCCCAGGACAGAGTTGGATGGAGAATGCTGATGAGTGGGCTATACTCCTCCATGAGGTGTACCAAGCGTAAGGTAAGTAACGACCACCGGGTCTAGAGTAGAAATCAATAATAAAAAGGAAATCGCATGTTTGTTAGTCCAAGCTTAATGATCAGTTATTGAATGCGTTATATCCAGTCCTTGCAGATATCTTTTTTGTTCATTAGATATGTTCACGTCAGACAGTCGTGAATAAATTCAG